CGACTATGATCCAATAATACTTGATTGTGGAGGTCCTACGTAAGGGCTCCGATTTGGTCTAAAGGGTACCTTTTAACAAATTAAGGGCTGAATGGCCAGTATTTGCCGGCCATTTACCGTTACGTAAGGTATCCACAACAGATTGATTTTAAATCAAATATGGGTTACTCATCAGACATACGCTGGCGAGGCATTGTCTTGCAATATGTCTACAATATTGAGATCAGCGTTGTTGCCGGTGTACTGGGCGTCTGGGCCAGAAGCCTTCGGACATGGTACCATCTCAAGACAACAGGAAATGTCGACGACACCCCAAAGAATGAGCGGTCATCTAAATGGCCGATTGAAGTGCAGCAATTTGTTCGCGAGTATGTAAAGCAACACCCCTTTTCTTTGATTGGCATCGTCGTTTTTTTCGTCAAAGGGTTAGGCTAAATTTTAGTCGGAAGCACCCGATCAGATAGGAGGTCTTCCGTAAGGGCACTGGATCGGAAAGTGGACGCCGTTGCTGCCCATTATCGCGAAATGCATTGTCCTGTGACGCAGTGCGTGTCACAACGCTGTGCAGCGTCTGGTAGCTCTTGTGGGTGTCACTATTAGATTCAAGCATGCGAGGAAGTAGAATATAAGTTTGTATCTGTTCAAGAAAACCATGCTATGACTGGTGTTGCACCCGACTCTCCAGTCAACTAACTGACGAAATGAAAACAAACCTTCTCGTGAAGCTAGAAAACTCGCCGTCAATTGTGCCTCAGCTTTTGCTCGAATTTCAGCGTCGGGAAGCTTAGCAGAATCGCACGTGTGGTCCGACCTAGAATTAAAGCACGTGCAGAACTTTGTAAAGGGGTGGAGAAGAAAAAACAAGCCAGACACTATGGCTCCTGTAATGCAGATTTGTCGCATGTATAATCGTGAGTACGGACAGTGAGCCGGAATCCCTGCTTGCGATTGTGATGTACAAGTAGTGAATGGTTAAAATGAACCAGTATTGGCACTGGCTCGGATGCGACACCTTTTCGAATTGGATTGACAAACCTGGAGCTCCTTTACCGTTACGTTGCTCTACAAGAAAACCCACAGCTACCTACATTATTGCATTTGGATAGTATCCACAGCATTGTGAAGCAGAAATATCCTGTCTTCGTTATTGGTATATCAGATCGTAGTGGAGGGTTTCTACCTATTGTCTACTTGCAGTGCCGTGAAGTGGGCATAGTGGGATGTATTTCATTTTTGAGGCGAGTCATACTCCGGGAATTTGGCACAGCTTTTGCAGGATTAGATTGTGATGGATGCGGACAAAGCGCAATACAATTCCTGCGTATCAGAGCTACCACATTGCAAAATCCTAATGTGCTGGTTCCACGTTACACAATATATGACCAAGCATCTCCAAGATCGAAATCTGGATATTGTAGAATATGTATGATTTGCATTTTGCTGCTAGGAGGAATATCTCAGATAACGTGCATTTGTGGTAAGTTCTTGGGGGCTAGAGGTGATAATTGCTCCAAATTTTGCCGAGTGATCAACCTTATCATTTCGTTTGGATCATTGGAAAGCGATTTTCGTGTTGGCAAGCCTTCCAAACTCCTACAGGCTACGCGGCAACTAATTATCCTTTGATAATGTACCACCATACAATACATTAAAACTAGGTAACGATAGCAAGAGAGCAACAAAACTGAACTTATAACCCGTTTGGATTTGTCTCGCATTGCATATGTAGTGTCTACGGTCCCGTTCACTGACGAACCACAAGTTTCGAAGAAATTGAACGCTGTGTATATGTGTGCTGACAATATAAAGACAATGAAAACATCCATAGTACACCGTTTGCAAAATCGGGAGCTCGTCCTTGTTCGGGTTTCGCCTTCGGTGCAAATTACCGCCGACAGCCACCAGAACAATGAGGATTCATTAGAGGAAATTGACCCAGCAAATGCGTCTACGGTGCTATCTGATGTCCGGCATTCGTATGGAGCAGCCAACTACACTAGACGTTTGTGGGTCATGATGTCTGCAAGATGCTGGATTGTTGATGCAACAACTAGATCATGTATGTGCCTAATTTGGTGAAAGGCAGGCATTTACTATGCTTTGTTTTGGTCCTTAACATTGCAGGAATTGCACGAGACTACTAATCAAGCTAAAGCCCATGATGATACTCAAAGCCTGAATGTGGAGCTTCCTGTGGAGCCCCAGATTGCGGAATCGGCACACCTCGAGTTGTGCTGGAGATGAATGTACATGTTGAACCGCTCGTTGAGCACGAACAGAACACATCTAATGATAGCGATTATGATGTGTATGAATCATCTGACTTAGCTAACCCCGATACACAAGATGAAGATCACAGACTCAGGTCTTGTGTCGTTGATATGGCTATTCGCGCGATCTTTCAAAACCAAGCGGAGCCTAATGCTTCATCAATCGTTAGTGAGCATGTTCAACATGGCCTCCGGTCCGGCAGAAGAAGTCTACCTTCACTTCGAGCTCGCGAGTCTTACGCACTAAACAAGAAGCACAAAGGTTAAGCTGTCAATACTCGAAGTACCACGCAGCATGAAACAGATGCATTGAGTTAAGCGAGGTACCGGTTGTACATTTGAAACCTGCATGAACCCCATATTACACGTATACCTTTACATACTCGTGCTTTCTGCTCCACACTAAACAAGTGTTAAACCTTACTTATTTGATCTGCACAGTGTTTCTTCCATTAAAACATACACAACACAACGCAATCAACCATCAGAAGCTCATCGACTTGCTTGACGGCGGAGATCTGATCAAGAAGGGCTTAGAGTGTCGTGTTCTACAGAGACCGCACGTCGATTAACTACGGGCCGCTGCCCTACAGTCGGTCGCGCTGGGGTCTGCTGATCTGTGTCCTCGGCGTTCACGACCAAGTATGAGGGACAAAGTAAATTGCAAAGTGATTGAATATAAAGAGATTGATACCTGGCACTACTCCTGCTGCCTCCTTGTCTGTTTGCCTCCTTGGTGAGGGCTTGCACAGCCTCTCCTTGGAGCACCATGACCTTCAGCTGCATCCCGTGCGTCCAAATATACGATCCCAGACTTGATATCTCACCAGCTGGTCCATCGCCACTGGGGGATCATCAAGCCACACGGAAATCCTTGGGCTTTTGCTTCAAAGTTGGTGATCGGTGATGATCACGCCTGTTCGCCACCTGATGCCCATCATCTGGGGGCATCATATCAGCCGTCGGCAGATTATCTGCTCAAGTGCCCAACAACTGATCACCGTGATCGTTCTCTTCTTGACCTGCTTCTTCGCCCTCTACATGTCAGCATTATCCAGCAGCAACTTGTATGTACAACTACTCCGTGCCGGAACCCGAGGTTAACAACACGTACACGTCTCCATATCTACACACAGCTCTACTTTGCAACCTGCTGAAGCCGACCAAGTCCACGTCCACCATCGATGCCTCGTTCACCTTCTCGTTCATATCACTGTTGCATCCTGGCGTCGACTTAATGGAGACCATACTTGGCGTTATAGGAGACCCTGGAGAAACCACTTCATCCGAAACGTCATTTGTGGAACAGGCCAAGACGTTCGAGGGTAAATCCATCCAATCTCTTGTAATTGCAGGTGACTACTCGTGCGCCAATGAATAACACCTGCAATGGGACAACTGGTCCGGGAGCTTACGTCAATCTACTTGATAGCAGATAGCAATGGTAACCACGAGACCACCTCGTCGGGTCATTTAAACATGTATCCTTTACCCAAAAGACGTGCACCTGGAGGCGGAGAACTACCTGGGCTGCATCAAGCGAGTGTACACTCCGATTACCGAGGACGCTAAACTGCACTACACACCTGGTGTTCAGTGGATATCAGTCTCATCCACTTTTGTTCTTGAACGACTACGCGGGATCAAGAGGAAATAGCACAACTGTGGCGGACAGGGCGGAGTGGAAGGCACGCAACTTGAGTGGGTGAAATCGGATCTAGAGAAGGTGGACCGCAGTGTCGCATCGCGGATTGTTGTCATCAGACATAACCAATACTACAACACTGGGAGAGCCCACCAGTGTCAGAGATCGTCCACGATCTTCGAAATGAACGAAGATGACGTCAAGAAGTGCTGGAATGGAGCGTATTATTGGCGTACTGTGTATTCGGAGCCACAACGTTGTCAGATGGCCAAGTGGGAGGAAGCTTTTTAAGCTAACGACGTGAGCGCCATGATCATGGGCCACTTGCTGTCCAACAGGTACACTGCTGTGGATGTAGGGATCGTGCTTTTTGTGGTTATAAATTACTGGCTGGTCGGTTGGAGCAACAACACTGGCGACTTTGTCTTCTTCATGTTTGTTTTGGACCTCTATACATCTGTGTGAGTCGCTCGATGTCGGCTCTGATGCCGAACGAGAAGGTGGCGAACGTGGCTATCGGTGCGCTGTTGTATCTGTTCAGCTTTTTCTCTGGCTACCTGTTGTAGATTTGGCCGTTAAAGCTGTCTACAAGTTGTTAATGCACCTTAAGCCGTCGAGCTATTCCCTGTCGGCGCCGGTGGACGTTCAGGATTGGACATTATCTCTGTGAAGAATAATGGTGTCACGACTGACACGACCGTGGGACAGTACATTGTGAAACTTCACGAGTTCCGACCGAGCCACAAGTACTACATGTCGAGGTAGCACAACGTAGGATTGAAGAGTAGCTGCGAATAATGGCGTTTGTGATCCGTAAGTCTGCTTTTGAGATTGTTTGATTTTACACGTTTTGTTTCGATAACATCAATGACTTTGGAGCGAGTGGGAGTAGAACTTCATGACTTGCTCTTTTGACTGGCCGGATTTTCTTGCCTTTCAATAACTAGAAGTTGTTTTGTTGAGTCACCTCAACGAGATAAGCTAAGTTTTGACACGATGCGCCTGAAAGAAAATTTGGATGGACACCCCGCGCGACAAGGGACCCACAACGAAGTGTTCTGATTGGCTAGAGAAGTGATATCCAGAACGACGAGAGCCAAGCCACCCTGAATGACTGCAAGTACAAAGACGAGAAGACGAGAAGTTTCCCGGTTGGTGATCCAGAGCAGCCAT